AATTCTATAAGTTCTAACTGTTGTGGGAAGGAGTTAATTAAAAGCGCCAGAAAATTCAACAAATTAAAACATTTTAAATTTATCACTTGTGCAGTATGAGATTTTAATTTCTTTTTCTTCTTTCATTTTCTCAATATAAAATGTTCATGTATCTTTCATAATAACCAGACATAACATTTGTGTTGCTTGTAGCCCAATACACACATGAATCTATAATTGATTTGTGGAGCTATGTAGCTATCAGCTACGCAAATATAACTTCAAAGATTATCTTTGTGTGCAGGGTCCAGCAAATATCCGATATCATCCTCACCCCCAGCAGGTTACCTAGGTAAGAAGGAGACAGAAATTGGTATCTGGAGGAAAGACCAGTTGGCAAATGGAATTGAGATTAAAGCTGAGGCAAGCCATCTCACCAATAGCGTGACTTATTCAGTAGACTATTACTGATGTTAAAAGGAAGGTTAATCCATTTTTTCTAACTCAGAAAAAAAACTAACTTAAATCAATCATTATAATGTTCTATGATACATTTCTTGAGTAAAGTTCTAATTTCATCATCTGAAGGCACTCTCTTTTGCTTCAGGAGATAGTGTAGATTATTCTTTACACAAGGACTGAGACTAATCAGTGAGGGTAAATGCAGGTTATAGTTCAATGGTACAGAGATTGAGACAGCCTATTTACAGACAGGTTTAATCAGTGCATGACAGGAGGACTGAGGATGGATATTTACAGGTTATGTAGGTTATAGACCTGTCTCCACATTCTTGTAAAGAGTAATGGAAGTAAAGTTTACCTGTCATTGATCTAAAAATATCTTAAGTCAACAGATATCCCAGTGAATTTCATGGCTAGATTGATGCATCCTTTCGTCATGTGGTTTACATCTTGATTCAAAAATCAAGACTACTCCGATGGTGAATGATTTCCCTTCTTTTGTATTCATTCATGGGATGGAAGCATCGCTGGCTGGGTGCACATTTATTGTCATGCCCCAGTTGCCTCTGAGAATGTGATGGTGAGTGCCTTTTTGAACTGCTGCAGTCAATGTGCAGACCCACAATATTGTTATGGAGGGAGTTCCAGGATTTTGACCCAGTGATACGTAAGGACTGTAGATATACTTCCAAGTCAGGTTGCACAGTGGCTTGGAAGCGAAATTACAGATGGTGGTGCTCCCATGTTTTTGCTGCCCTTTCCCTTTTAGATAGTCGTGGTTGTGTATTTGGAAGGTGCTATCAAAGGATCTTTAGCAAATTTCTGCAGTGCATCTTGTCGATGATACACACTGCTGCTGAGTGCCAATGGTGGAGGTAATGAGTGTTTTTGGATATAGTGCCAAACAATCGGTTTGCTTTGTCCTGGAAGGTATCAAGCTTCTGGATACAAAACTGGCTGTCCAATAGAAGACAGAGTGTGGTAGTAGATGGAAAGTATTCAGCCTGGAGCTCAGTGGCCAATGGTGTGCCACAGGGATCTGTTCTGGGACCTCTGCTCTTTGTGATCTTTATAAATGACTTGGATGAGGAAGTGGAAGGGTGGGTTAGCAAGTTTGCCCAACACACGACGGTTGGTGGAGTTGTGGACAGCGTCGAGGGCTGTTGTAGGTTGTAACGGGACATTGACAGGATGTAGAGCTGGGCAAAGAAGTGGCAGATGGAATTCAACCCAGAAAAATGTGAAGTGATTCATTTTGGAAGGTCGAATTTGAATGCAGAATACAGGGTTAATGGCAGGATTCTCGACAGTGTGGAGGAACAGAGGGATCTTGGGGTCCACGTCCATAGATCCCTCAAAGTTGCGACCCAACTTGATAAGGTTGTAAAGAAGGCATATGGTGTGTTGGCTTTCATTGGCAGGGGGATTGAGTTTAAGAGCCGTGAGGTTATGCTGCAGCTCTATAAAACTCTGGTTAGACCACACTTGGAATACTGCGTTCAGTTCTGGTCACCTCAATACAGGAAAGATGTGGAAGCTTTAGAGAGGATGCAGAGGAGATTTACCAGGATGTTGCCTGGACTGGAGGGCAGGACTTATGAGGAAAGGTTGAGAGAGGTAGGGCTTTTCTCTTTGGAGCGAAGAAGGATGAGAGGTGACTTGATAGAGGTGTACAAGATGATGAGGCATAGATAGAGTGGATAGTCAGAGACTTTTTCCCAGGGCGGAAATAGCTATTACGAGGGGGCATAATTTTAAGGTTATTGGAAGAAGGTATAGGGGAGATGTCAGAGGTAGATTCTTCACACAGAGAGTGGTGGGTGTGTGGAATGCGCTGCCGGCAGTGGTAGTGGAGTCAGATACTTTAGAGACTTTTAAGCAACTCTTGGATAGGCACATGGAGCATAGTAAAATGTAGGGTATGCAGGGTAGATTGATCTTAGTAGGATAAAAGGTCAGCACAACATCTTGGGCCAAAGGTCCTGTACTGTGCTGTTCTATGTTCTATATTCTTCAGTGTTGTTGAGCTGCACACATACAGGCAAGACAGAAGTATTCTGTCACACTCCTGATTTGTGTCTTGTTCATGGAGGGCAGGATTTGGACAGTCAGGTGATGTATTAATTGTAGTGATTATAACTAGGTCAAACATCCTGTTCATGTCGACAGCGGGCTCTGAGGGATCTGGGACAATGTCAAGGGTTCTCCATGTGTAAATAAAAGATGACTTGGGGACGAGATACCAGCCTTTGTGGAGTTATTTCATGAATCACTGCAGGATTCCAAACTGCTTTCCTGCTCTCATAGCCACTATATTTATATGGTTAGCCCAGTTTGGTTTCTGGTCAATGATAACTCCCAATGTTGATAACATGTGATTCAGTGATCGTAATGCTGTTGAATGTCAAGGGACAATGGTTAGATTGTCCCTTATTGAAGTTAGTCATTGCCTAGGATTTGTATGGGGTAAATGCTACTTGCCGCTTATCAGCCAAATACCATAGGTTTATCAGGTTTGCTGCATTTGGATATGACTGCTTTGGTATCTGAGGAATCATGAATGGTGCTGAGTATTAGTGAATCATTCAAGAACTGACCTTACGATGGAGGAAAGGCTGTTGATGAAGCAGATGAAGATAGATGGGCCTAAGACATAATTCTGAGAAATTCTGGCACTAATGTCCTAGGCTGAGATGACTGACTACCCACAACCACATCACAACCACCCACCTTTCCTTAGACACATCCCACATACTCTGAGTCCCCTGTACTCTTCCCCAAATGCCCAGTGGTCATCTGCACTTTGTCATTGTCCAGGAAAAACATACAGGAAAGCAGTCAGACATGTCCAAATGTACACTTTTACTGACAGCCAACAAAAGGAAAACGAAGGCAACAAGTAGAGGCTGCAGATTGCATTCACAATGCAAATCCAATGCTGGCATTATGACCATGATAGTCCACGATGGTCTTCTGTACCCAGCTGTATTTATCGGAACCCGGTGTCAATCAAGCCTGGTCTACCTATTAATGTCCAATGGAGGTGAGCTCCATTACCCACAAGGATAGCTTCCTCCAGCTCAATGTCCTCATCCTTCTCCTCGGAAGAATTCTCTTATTCCCTCAGCTTCTCAGCATGTATCACATCCTTGTTGCATGCTGCAATTGTGCAGGGCACAGACGTCAGAATGGTGTGGCACATTTTGTCCAGACTACAATGGAAGCCCAATACCCCCACAGATCGCTCCATACTGCAGACGTACATCTTCAGCAGGCCTATGGTTTATTCCACCACAGTCCTCAGCATGTGCACCAATTGGTGAAGCTGCCACACCAGTTGAGTGACAATGCCATTACATTCAATAAAAGGAGTTCCTGTTGCACTCTGACCCCCTTTCCATTGCAGACCCACGTCAACTCCTTCATTTTGCATTGAATTCATGGCAGTCCATCATCATATTGGCATGATATATCATACAACAATGCACCCCTCATTCCATAGCAGCCCTGAAATTTCTACAATTGTTGGGATGCTTTTGCCAGCAATCACCTTTTAAGTTATTGCTGCTAACTTCTGCATCAATCGCATGGGGCAATCTGCTTTTAACCAACATTTGACATATTAGCACATTCATGTGTTGTATACACGTGAAGAAATGTTTGCACGTGGAATGTAGCTGGATTCTGCAAATAAATGCTACATGTGTTAGCTTCTTCAATGCCCAGCCATGCAAAAGATGTGGATCCTGCAGTTTTACCCATTAAACTGACACTGACTTCACCTAGCCTGGGCACTGTCCCAGCCACTTTTCAGTTGCATTGAGCATCTAAAAAACTGCAAGTGTTGGCAAAGATACGATCAGCACCGGGCTCTGTTTGGCTATTTACACCCCGTCACCCTACCTCAAGAGTCCCCTTCTTTCTCTCACTACCCTGACAGATAATTTCCACCTATCCTCCCTAAATGGGAATCCGTCATATCGAACTTTGCTTCCAAATGTCATCCCTGCCACCTGAACCCTGTCACTGTATCTCAAAGATGCCCACCCTGATCCATTACATTGTGGGGCCACAGTGTTGGTCACTGCCAATAACTGCAGCCTATCATACCCTCTGATACTTTTCCACATACTGCTCCATGCATCTCGGGTTTCGCCCATCACTGTCCTTGTTCCCACCTCCACAAATGATTCTGTATTCCCTGCCAGCCTTGACTTCCTCCAATCTTTTTTGAATGGTGATGCCTTGACCTCTAGGACTTTGACCAACTTTGAAGGACAGCCCGTAGACATGACTGGCCAGATCCCAAATGTTGTCTTTGCAGCTCCTGGAGTGACAATACACAATTCCCCTGACTACTAGTGCTGGCCTGACTGTTGACCACTCCCAGTTGGACAAATCTCCTAAGGTTGAACATCTTGAGCAGACGCCTGGCCAGGCCAAGCTCCTGAACTGTATATGCCCCTGAGTGACAGTACCAGACCTCCACATCAACAGCGACCCTCATTGATTATTAAAAAAATCACCTTAAAACTGAAGTAAACGAGTTTATTTTTCCATTAGCAGTTTCTGTAAGCTGTGGATTTTAACCAGTAAGCTAGGCGAAGCAGCCAACTTCTACAAGCAGCTATAAATCGGTTCTGATGTAGCGCGATAGTTCCGTTCTCATGCGATCTCGCGTTCTGGGAAATTCGCGCAATAACAACGCCATTTAATGTAATGGGAACGGAATCGTGCTATAGCCAATAGAGGTAGGGAAAGTTCACGTTCTACAAATATCATTCTATAACACTTCAATCACGTTAAAACTAATTTGTGTTGAAGAAATACGCATTATCTCAGAACCGACTGTGTTAATTATCTGGAGGATCAAGGGGCAACATGTCTGGAAAGCCAAAGGATCATCTCAGTCAAATCCTGTGAACAGGGACCACTGAACTGTCTTCCCAGTCTTCCCCTCCGCCTATCACACCCTTGTTATTTACCCTGTTCCTGTCTGTGTATATGTATGTGTGTGTCCGGGGGCGGGGTTTAAAGTTTTAGGAGGTTAGAGTAGCTGACTCTATTTAAGAATGAGAATTGTTCAGAGGAAGTTTTTGGCATGCCTTCACTAACTGTAGCTCAAGAAACAGATCCAGAGTTAAGTAACTAAGTAAGGACAGTTCACAATGAAGCTGAAGCTGAAGCTGAAAGAGTCCCACAGTGTTATTGTATTTGAAATAGACTTCTGATAAAGAAGTGGAGATATCCCCACAGAGTTCTGGATGAAGAATGGACAATTATTCATCAAATTGCAGTACCACCTAGATACTGTAAAGAAGTATTGTGAGTAGCATATGAAATTCTTAGATCATGACCTACAGGAATACAGAAAATGTAGGCATTGATAAATGCATAAATCATTCTGTATAGCCAAGACTTTATAGAAACATACTGCGTTCTGTAAGATATGTCAAGCGGTAAGAAAAGCAACGTAATCCAACCAGCATCTTTGATACACATAGTTTTTGAAAAACCATTCAGTCGAATACTTGTAGATTGTGTAGGACTATGAGCAAAACCAAAAGCTGATCATCAGTATATCCTTACAATTATGGATAGGACAACGAGATTCAGGTCATACTGGATAAGTTATCGCAGCTTTAAATGCATTTTGGCTACCACTTGAAATAGTTTGATTAGGATTCTAACTCTGTCTAACATTTTCAGTTTGGGTATAAAACATTTGAAGTTAACTGCATCATCTGTAAACACAGGGAGCTTTGGAAAAGCACCATCAAACTCTCAAAATAATTATTAAGACACACTGACATGATTTCCCATGGTTTATCTGTAGCTACTTGTAATAAAACCAATGACTATTTAAGTACAGCAACTTGGTTTGTGCTTTTTGTTAACCTAGGTCTAATAGACAGGTAAATTGGAGAATTCTGCATACTTTTCTAAAATCTTTAACTTTTATGACAATTTTGGAAATAGCTGGACTTGATTTCAAGCATGCTATCTCAGTGTGGCATAACCATCCTTGGATGCAGTTTGATGCTAGTCAGCACCGAGGCTGGTTGCAGCTTGAGGCAAGCTGAAGTCTCCACATATTGCTTCTGATTTCCATGTCGAAAACTTGATATCCAACTTGTTTGGCACTTATAAGATGGGAAGCTATGTATTAATGAGGCTAGTTGGGCTGTTAACAATGCATTTAACAAGCTAATACCCCCTTAATTAAAAACTTTTTGCTGCCTGGTGAGAAACTCCCTCGCTGCTCAGCAAAAGCATCATAAATGGAACAAAATGCTTCTGACATTGAAACAGGCCTCACCAAACTTCTCAACAGATCCTGCCGCAATCTCGCCATAGCACACATTGCTTAGACCCCTATAAGATTAGACTCAAAGTTTTCAAAGTGCTCAGAATACCATGTTTATTATCCAACCTTTGAATTTGTTGTTAGTACATATGTGAGAGCACAAGTGCTGCCAATCAGACCTTGTACTAGTTTTGAAAATGATAGATCATTCTATTGGACTTACTTTCTTTTCCTTTTGGATTTTCTTGCTATTGTTCCAGAACTTTGCCAACTTGAAAATCCCACAAGTGTTCCTTCAGAAAAGATAACATTTGAAATCAGAATGAAGAAGAAATTTGCAGCACAGTGGACTGCAGAACTGAGACAGAATCACAGATTAGAACCACATAAACAAAAATAAACACTCGCCCTATCATGCTTTTTCACACTTTGAATGACCTGTCCAAAAAGCTGTTACGGCACAGTGGTATTGTCCCAAGCCCCATCTATCCCTAAGGTGCTTCAAGACATGTTCAAACAGATTAATTAAAAATAATTAGGAATGCAGCTAAATGGCACAGTGAAGGTGTGCTAGTTCCGTAACATAGTGGTCGATGGATCGAACCCAATTTTTACTGTTTATCCTGGGTGGGCGGGGGGGCAGTGATAGCATGGTGGTAAGGATTTTTCAACATTGCAGATTTGTTCAGGATCTTGTGGCCTAGTGACAGTGTTTCTCTCTCCGGGCTAGACAGCCCAAATGCAAGTCCTACATGCTCCAGAGATGTGTCATAATATTTCTGAAACAAGTTGATTAAAATATCTATCTATATCCAAATTGCTTTTGCAAGTCAATATGGAATCTGCTTCAATTTACCTTTCAGGCTGTGTAATTCATGTCATAACAACTTTCTGAGTAAAGAAAATTCACCTCCGTGCTATGTTTTGCTAATTATATCCCCTGAAGACAGTTTCTCCTTTTTTACTCCATCAAAACTCATTATAAGAGCAAACAAATACCAATATTCAAAAAGGATGCAACTATGTCCAAGTGAATTACACATGAAATCCTATGATTGTCACACTTACTTATCTAGAATTTTCTCTCTCTCCAAATCTTCAGCTTCATTGACCTCCACTGGTGAAGAATTAATTTCAGTTTCTGAACCCTATCGACAGGAAGGAAGAATTTCAACAATATTATTGTAAACACAGTTCTTCCTTGAATTCTTCCTCTTCGTACACTGGACTGAAGTTCTCCAGCTCTCCACTGTTGGATCCAAGTGATTGAACTTCACAGATGTGCTCAGGCAATGAATGGCTGTGGGATATTCATCAATGAAGTTCTTCAGATTATGAGCCGCTTTCTGCCATCCACACACCTGTTTTCTGCAGCAGATGCCAAATACCTTAGCTAATTTTTGCAATTAAACTGATGTTAATTGAAGCCTAATCCCCTCACAGGCATACTGATATTAGGTCATCATTTCCCAATTTCCTTATTACCATACCGATACAGGTTAACATTCTAGCAACTATAGCATTTTATTTATTCTATCTTCAATTATTCCAGTTCACCCTGGACTTCAGGTTCAGAAAACGAGTCTGTGCATCACTTGTCATGTTGGATAATTAATCACACAGTTTATGAAACAAATATGCTGACAACAAATCGCTAGGTTACTGTGGCATTAAGCATCAAAGGTGAGCCTGATCGAGATCTCATTTCACGTCTGCACACAGTACTTTGGAGCAGGAGCCTACTTCTCTGTCAATCATAAACACTTCATAATATTGTTGCTACATCTAAATATTCAGTGAAAGCAGGAAGGCAGAATAAGAAGCAGATTAAAGATTTTTAATAATAAAAACGTATAAGAACAAAAGACAAATCAGAAATGGAGCAAATGTATAATTTAAATAAATCATAAAACAGTGAAGAGATGATAATGCAGCAATAGACTTTTATTTTCACATGCAAGGTAAAAGTAGTCTGTTTAAATATATATTTAGTAATTTATTGTTACTCCAATGCATGCATTCAGTCTTTTACCCAGGGTTGGGGAATTGAGGACTAAAGGGCATCAGTTTAAGAGGGGAAAGAATACATGGGAATCTGAGGGGCAACCTTTTTACGCATATGGAATAATCTGCCAGCGGAAGTGTTTGAAGCTGGTACATTAACAACATTTAAAAGGTATTTGGACGAATACATGGATAGGGAAGGTTTAGTAGCATATGGGTCAAGTGCAGGGAAATGGGGATAGCGTGAATGGACATTTTGGTCGGCATGGACAAGTTTGGCCAAAGGGCCTACCTCCATGCTGTAGGACTCTATGACTCTCTATGACTATGACTCTATGATTAATTGCTTTATAGAGAAATGTTTTTTTTTGTGAGTGTGATGTATGAGTTAAAAAAACAAAAATACCTTTTTCTTAGGAGAAAGGAATATTCCTTAATCTGTCAGAAATCGCGGGGCTCATAACACGAGTAGGGCATTTTGTTCCTCATGATCAATCTTTCAGTGAGATCATGCTTGATCTATGACCTGACTTCCTATGTCCCTTTATACATTTGGTAAGTAAAAATCTAGCCATTAAAATTAACAGGTCACCGAGCATCTTAAGTTTTTTGTAAAGGGGAGTTTCAAATTTCTGAAACCCTTCATTTTTAGACGTGATTTCTAATATTTCTAAGTCTCCTCAACTGGTGGAAAGTTTCCTATGAGTTCCCTTAGTATTTTGACAGCTTCAATCAAGTTACCTTTTAACCTTCTAGGTTCATGAAAATACACTACTAATTTCTGTAAACTCTTCTCTGAAACTCTTTGGAGTGTCATTCCGATAAATCTTCATCAATCTCATTCCAATGCTGGTATATCAGCGCTTCCAAAAATCTTTCCCAGTGTGACCCTATTTTAGTGCCTCAGACTTTGTGTGGCCCTGAAGTGAAAATTGGAGGGGGCAAGAAGAGGGGTGGAAGCTTTGTGAGTAGGGGAGTGTTGAGAGTTGTTAAGCTGGGATATGGGGAAATAGTTTTTGATGGTGGGATAATGTTGAATGTTATCAGCGAGTGACTGGAGAGATTTAAAACTGCTGGGTTCACCCTAAGAAAAGCAAAGAGCCACCTTTTTTTTAAATAGGCTGTGGCTGTAGCAGCAATTTGGCCTCAGATGGTAAACTGAACCCACTAATATTGTAAAAACACAAACATTTAAAAGGGCTTCACAGCCTTGAAACTCAGAGTTTCATGGCCACTATTGCTATCTCAGAACTTGCAACCTAAATATGTCGTCCTGTGTCCCACAGTTTGCAAATGCCTGCAGTACATCTTTTATAAAGGTGTGAGTCTGTAACTTCTCACAGCACTCCTAGTGTTGTTGAACCAGGACTTTATGTAGATGAAGGGCTAATAATCTCACCAGATCGTGCCTCTTGGCAATTTGTTTCGGATGAATGTTTTCCAAGTGCACATTTTTGCTTTCATTCTCTCCACAATCCTCTGAGAGCAATTGTTTGTTTGCTTTGCAACTGAAATAAAATAAATTAAAAACAACTACAAATGACTTGATTCACACAAAATCGTTACACACCTTTATATATTTGCTAGTGAAATTCATATGTCACTGGATCACTGTCATGAAATGATACAGTACAGAGGGAGGCCATTCTGTCCATTATGTCTATATCAGCTCCTGTTAAGAGTTCTCCAGTTAAACTATTCCAACGTTTTTTCACTAAACCCTGCAAATTTCTCCTTTCCAATTATATATCTCATTCACTTTTGAAAGTTATTTGCAAGCCTAGTAGACAATGCATTCACAACCATAACAAATCACTGTGTAAAAAAAAATCTTGTCTCTGATTTATTTGCCAATTACTTTAAGTCTGTCTCATCTGTTTACCATCGCTTACCACCACTGGAAACAGTTTCTAGTTACTTACTTTATCAAAATCCTTCATGACTCGGAACCTCTTCATTATGTCTACCCTAATTTCCACTGGTCTAAGGGAAATAAAGCCAATTTCATGGTCTCCCCACATACCTGTCATCCCATTCTAGTAAATCACCGTTGCGCCCTTCCTAAAGCTTTGGCATCCTTTCTGTAGTATAGTGCCCAGCTAAACAATGTTCCAGCTAAAGTTTTATATAATTTCCTTGCTTTAGTCCTCTGCATATGTTTACAAATGAATCCATATACTTTTAAAAAAAAAAATTCATTCATGGTAAGTGGACATCACTGGTGGGCCAGCATTTATTGCCCAACCATAGTTGTTCTTGAGGAGGTGATAGTGAGTTGCCTTTGTGAATTGCTGCAGCCCATTTGGTGCATGTAAATCTCACGTAGGATTTATAACTGTAAACCTCAGCTTGACCTGCCTCCTTTAAAGGAGTGCATATTTATTTCTTCAAACCTAACTATCATTTTCAATTGCTTTACTCTATAACATTGTCATTTATAGACATAACCCAGAAAATTAAATGACACTTTAAAATGACTTCAAGTGTATGTAGCTGTGAACAAAAGCCCACAATTCACATGCCTGATGATGAACATACACACCAAGATGCATTCTTATCCCTGAAAGGCATTAAATTGGGAAGCCGACAACCATATTTCTGGCTACAAGCACTACGAATTTTGGCTGCTACTCTTAAGGTTCAATGATTACCCTGGTGAAAGGAAATGCATGAGCAACAAGAATTACCCTCTGTACTCCAAACATCTTTAGTTCTTATAGAATGTGCTTGTGACATTACTGCTGGCTTTCTGGGAGGGCCCTCAACTTGCAGCATAACTCAAGGAAGCTAAAGCACAAGGCTGGAAGCACCCTTTTGGCCTCTGCTCTACTGCAGACATGGGCCCAGTTATTCTATTTTGGGGCAACATTTTAGGCTGGCTATTTGATACAACAGGTCGCCATTTTTATTTCTCTAATATACCAATAGATTAATCCCCTCTCCTATCTTCACAACATTGGCAGTGGGAATATGCTTAACATTTTTTTAAAGATTGATAAATTTTAATGCTGACCTGGTAATTTCACTTCTTGATATATGTCTTGATCTACTTCTGATCCCCCTAGTTCCTAGTAGACAGTCATTGGAAAAATAAATATAATAAATACTATTGATAATGTTGTTGAAAAACAACTTCTGACTCATGATTCTTACCAACTAATTACCATGTAATTATATGATTTCATAGATGCATGGAATTAAGCTGTATCTTCATCAAAATTGTGGAAAACAGAGGGAAGGATTCTATTTATACAGAAAGGAAATGTTGGAAAGCCTAGTGAGGAACTGTGAGCTCAATCAAGTAAATAAGATATGTGGGACACTGAAAAACTCGGGGAATGTGAATGCTGAAATTGAGAAGCTCCTGAACATCATTATGGTAAGAGGCTCAGGAAGACAAACATGGACAAAGAGAATCAGGGATATCAGCATGGAAAATGAAGCTCTGGAATACTGCTATAAAATAAAGGTCTTGGGTACATCAGTATGGAAAAAGAGGCTCAGTGGAATAAATGGAATAAACACGGTTTTTTGAAGTATAAAATCAAAGATGTTATATTCAGTGGAAGTATATTTAATAGACTCAGAAGTATGCTGTGCATGATTGTCCAAACATTTATTGATACCTAATCTAGGTCCTCTGCTGCTGTTCGGCAAGGAACAGTACAAGTGTTCTCTTATATCTGAAAAATATCTGAAGAAGTAAAAAAATTGGCATTCTGTATATCAGCAACTAAGCAAGGAAAACCAGCTTTAGATCATAATTGTGAAACATTTTTCTGAAGTATGCTCCATATTATGGATTACTTTGAAGTGCACTGATTTCTAATTTGTGTGCATTAATATTCCAAAATCAGAAATAATATAAACACATATTAGTCTTTTTTCAGTGGTTTTCTTTCAGTGCAATTCTTCGACAATTGATTATATAGGAAGTAGGAAGCACAAGCTGGTGAATGGCAATGAGAGTGCGTTAGGGATAAGCAATAGGATTTTAATTGATGTCACACTTTAGGAGATTAGAATGTGAGATTGTGTTGGAAAACTCCTCGATATATGTATTGGGGTAAAAGTACAATGGCATTACATAAGCAGAAACTTACAATTAGGATCAAGAAGTAATGTAAGTTGATTTCAAGTAAAGGATCAAGATGGATTTTGAAACCTCCATTCTAATGTAATATAACAAATAATATCCTAATAGATTAAGTTTTATAGTTTTGAGGTCAAGCAACATAACACTCATCCTATGCATGACATAGGAATGATGTCAAGTATATTCAAATAAGGGCAGGCCAACAAGCCCTTCAAATCTGTTCCATGATTCCAGTAGATCAAGATGGATTTGTGGAGTTAAACTATCTACTCTGCCTTTGTAAGGCAACCTTTAGCCAAAAAACACCCGCTCAAACTCAGTTTTGTTACATTCAATGGCATTACAGGGAGAATTCCTGAATGCCACTGTCTTTTCTGTGAATAAAATGTGTTTCCAGCCATAACCCCTAAGCAATCCAATTCAGGTTTTATGATTATTATCTCTTGTTCGAACTATTCCACCAAAGGAACAGTTTTTCTCTCTCAAATTCTTTAATCATCTCATTTAGGTCAGTTTTAATTTTCTATCCATAAAGGAATATAAGCCAATCTATAACCTGGCCTCATTATAAATCTTATATCCCTCATATCATTCTGCTGAATCTGAGTTGCAGTGCCTTCAAAGCTATCCTTGAAATCATTGCAGTTCTGTAAATAGGGGTCTAACAAGATCTTTGCACTTCTATTAACATAACTAGCCATTTGGATACAGAACTGGCTCAAAAGCAGAAGAGGGTAGTGGTGGAGGGTTGCTTTTCAGACTGGAGGTCTGTAACCAGGGGTGAATCACAAGGATCATTGCTGGGCCTACTGCTTTTCGTCATTTATATAAATGATTTGGTTATGAATATGGGAGATATGGTTAGTAAGTTTGCAGATGACACCAAAATTGGAGGTATAGTGGACAGCGAAGAAGGTTACCTCAGAGTACAACAGGGCCTTGATCAGATGGGCAGAAGGAGTTTAATTCAGACAAATGTGAGGTGCTGCATTTTAAAACGATAAATCAGAGCAGGACTTATACTGGGGAGTGTTGGTGAACAAAGAGACCTTGGAGTGCAGGTTCATGGCTCCTTGAAAGTGGAGTTGCAGGTAGAAAAGGTAGTGAAGAAGGCATTTGGTACACTTGCCTGTATTAGTCAGTGCATTGAGTATAGGAGTTGGGAGGTCATGTTGCGGCTGTATAGGACATTGGTTAGGCCACTTTTGGAGTACTGCATTCAACTTTAGTCTTCCTGCTGTAGGATGTTGTGAAACTTGGAAGGGTTCAGAAAAGGTTTACGAGGATGCTGCCAGGTTGAAGGGTGTGAGCTATAGGGAGAGGCTGAATAGGCTGGGGCTATTTTCCCTGGAGTGCCAGAAGCCAAGGGGTGACCTTAATAGATGTTTATAAAATCAGAGGGGCATGGATAGGGTAAATAAACAAGGTCTTTCCCCAGGATGGGGGAGTCCAAAACTACAGGGCATAGATTTAAGGTAAGAAGGGAAAGGTTTAAAAGGGGCAACTTTTTTACACAGGGTGGTGTGTGTATGGAATAAGTAGCCAGAAGAAGTGGTGGAGGCTGGTACAATTACAACATTTTAAATGCTTTAATGATGGAGGGCTTACAGAGATATGGGCCAAATGCTGGCAAATATGACTAGATTTATTTAGGGTATCTGGTTGGCACGGACAAGTTGGACAGAAGGTTTATATCTCTATGGCTCTGTAACTTCCACCCTTGTATTCCAAATCTCTTTGAATGAAGACCTTGGCTGAAATTTTTCCGTGTCAGATTGGGATGGAACGGTTGCAGGATGGCAAACAAAATGACTGCGCAACGGCATGTCTAGAAATTCCATGTCTGCTTTCTGCCCTCCGCTATTTTCTCAATGGCAGGGGAGGAAGCATGTCTGAGAATTTGCCCGCCTCTCTTAACAAGGAATTTTAGATCAATGTGGACTTGTTAAGAGCTTTCTCTGGTACATTTCCTAACTTTTAGGGAGATGGCCATGCCTAATTACCCTTGAGAAGGTGGTGGCCGGATGCTTGGCACGTCAGGAGTCAGACCATCCCAGCTGAGGTGGGGACAGGACATGTGAGATATGCAAGAAAATGCTTTTGAAGTTGTACTGAAGAGGCTAAACATTGCAGAGAGGTCTTGTCGCATCTTTGAAAATATTACTAATTTTAAAACGCACAATAGCCTACCCTTTGTTGAATTCCAGGCTTCCCACTATCCTTCAAACCTGACCTTTGGCAACTTTTCTCCTGATTTTTGAATTCTTGGTACAGAATTGGCTGCTGTTTTAGACCAAAACCTAGCCCACCACCCAAGAGTCCCAGCTCCATTCTCACACCCCTGATCAATAATTGGGCAGTGGAATCGACTCCAGGGTTATTCAGGCTGTCAGCCTCAGGCTTCTCAGACAGCTGCTAATGGGGGTGGGTTCACAAACAGGAATTTAGCTACTTCTCCATACCCACCTCTGAGAGGAAATCCAGCCCCAACTTTCTGTGAGCCTTTTAAATTATTTTCTGCACCTGAAATACATATGTTATATTGACTGTGAACTTTATTTAACTCATGCAGCAAAGGTATGTGATTTCAGGGTTGATTTTAACTCTCAAGTGAATAGATTTTGTTTGTGTTGTAATTGAATCCAGTGTTGCATCTTCTAAAAACTGGCTAACAATTAGAACTTAGTGGAAGTTTCAGTAAATTTTCTAAAGAATAATACATTGTTTGAACTCTAATATAATTCTTACCACTCTTTACATTTTCTTCAGCTTGGTCACTACTAAGCTGTTCCTGCTCAGATACAATGAAGCTTGGTTTATTTTCGATATGTCTTGGGCGTGACATAATTGGCCCTGTTGAAATAAAATTCTGCTGTTTGTGTAGATGCACCCCAGGCTGTAGGTGCTGTTTGGTCCCAGCACAAGTGCTGTACCTCTGAACTGAATTTGTTAATCCCACCTCTGTAGCATCCCTCCATTTCGGGGCCTTCCTGCCACTACACTTGGAATGTGTGTAGGATGTGGCCAGTGCAGAATTATTTTCTTTTGCAAAAGAATTTTTCAGGTGTACTGCTGATGTCTCTTTTATTTGAGCTTCTTTATTTTGCTTTTCCTGTTGAGTAAGAACAGAGACTCCCAGTGATACAGGAAAAATAACAATTAATGTCTCACTGATACAGGAAAAGTAACAACTAATGTCCAAGAGATTGGCATTAATTCTGCTGCAATGATTGGAAAATAATGCATCTATTTATCATAACTAAATGTTATATCATCATTTAAAAGATGTATCTTTTTCATGATAGTGTATAAATTGAGTACTGTTTCATGATTGTATAAATTGAGTACTAATGTAAAAAGAGATGCTGTTGAAGATTTTTATCTTGCATTCATCAGAACAGAAATGCAAAAATATCGATCTCAAAAAAAACAACAATTTCTAGCAAGTGAAAGATGAATGATCTCATTAGAGGGTCACCAAAGCTCATATGAGAGGATGAGATTGAGAGAAGGGAAGTGCAGGAATTGAACCCACGTTAAAGGCATTACTCTGTATCATAAACCAGCCAACTGAGCTAAACAACTCCACGACAATTTCTACTGCACGAAGAATGGTTGTTAATTAGTTGGCGAGTGGATTCTTCATTGGTCAAGGTGTTGCCATGGAAACAAGTATTCGTAAACTTTCGTTTAAATTCAAACCAGGCAAGTTGATTCTGATTGGTTGAGTATTGCCACAACATATGTAGCTTCTAAGAAGTGTAAGCAAGTCCTATTGTGAGCCCCACTGATAGTATTGTATTGGTTGTTAGTGTAATTCTTAGATTGTTTAAAAAATTAAATACGTGTTGCCCAATTGCAGAATCCACTGTTGGACCCAGTGGTCAGAGTTTTACAAGCATGCTGCGAATCAGGGACAAATGTCATCTTGTACATTCTCCATGACAACACTTCGACAAATCAGAGTCCACTTGCCAACCAGTTAGAACCATTTTCCCTTCCAGTACAAATTGTTGTTCTCTTTGAAATTTGTCTTTCTTCAATGTTGTCTGAGGAGTGAGAGACAAAAAGCTGTCAGTTGTTAGAGCTACACTTTACTCTTCCAGAAAACTACATTACTTAGAAGCTTGAATGATTATTAACTTACTATACTTTTAAACAAAAATATATCATGAACCTCCCTTCACTTAATAGCTGACATATTCCATTTGTGCAGAAATTGATTAGTATGCGTAACATTTATTTGTTTAGTAAATTCCAGTAATGGATTTTCAACTGTTTATAGATTCCTACATGTCATACCTCTGTTACAGAAGATCTTGGGTACTTTTCAGGTTTGTTGTCCCCATTCTCTTGACCTTCTTTCATTGATGGAAAGACAATCGAATGCTTATTGCTGTTTCTGTCCTTATCAGGCTTCAGATCAAGTCGAATCACATTGTTAAAAGAATGATCTGACAGAGGCGGGTTAATAGGATTTCCTGGTGTTGATTCTGCAGCGTGCCTGTGTACGGACCAAGAGATCTGATGACAAGTTTCTTGATATGGATAAGGGGGCCGTCGGGCATCCCCTGCGCATGGAGTGAAGTGTTCATGGACTAGATGGCTCACTCCCCCAGGTGGCATCATATGTCTGTGCATTCTTCCTGACTCTCCAAGAGTGACATTGTCCCTTTTATCAATGGCTGTTTGTCCAAAGGAATAACTGTGATTGGACTGGTCCTGTGTATTCTCGCGGTACACAGTATTTCTATCATGACACTCCTGTAGCAGGTGAGAATTATTTTTGTTATTTTCAGTTCTAACGTAATTCAGAGCAGCATTGAGGCTTTGAACAGACAACTCATAATACTTTGTATGTTTATAGTTTTTCTCCAGTTCCTCCATAGTGATGAATGGATGCTGTAATGCAAGTCTTGGAGAAATGCGATATTTGGGATCAAAGTTCAACATTCTCTTCACAAGAGCTACCATACTGTTACGATCATGGAACTCGGCAATATCATCACCATTTGGGGACAATGTTTTGATGATGCTGCATGTTTCAAGATCATCTAGTGACTTTAAAGTATGTCTCCTTGGCTCCAAAGGTTGTGCAAACATCTTTGACTGATACTCAGATGACGACTTAAGTTGCCACTGGTGGGCTGAAGAAGTGGAGGAGTTTCTTTTGAAGAAATGGTGAGTCTTACTTGCTTGGTTGAGCAGCTGGTCGTGAGGTTGACCTTGGGTTTCAACAATGATTCTGATCTGATCATATTGATTCTTACCCGGATATAAAGGGCTACCAAGTCGAAGTTCAGCTAGAACACAACCGAGGGACCACATATCCAGCTTTTCACAGAAAGGCAATCCCAAGAGGATCTCCGGTGATCTGTAATATCTGGCCTGGATATATGGGTCTTCAAAGTGAAAATTAAATGTCTATGTTATAGAATATTGAATCTATACATAAGTAATTTTCTTCAAAAACTAGAGGGAAACCATATATTAATTTCAAACCCGAAGTGCTATGATTCATATTATTGCTGTGTATAAGCACACTAACGTTGTACTTCTAAGCAGAGAACAATAGAGAGTCATGAACTATAAGTCATCTTGCTTTGTGGCAAGATGTTGGTACAGGTTTGCTGGAAAATGGATTTAGAATAACAGATTTATGGAATAATGAAAAGTGGATTTGGTGGCTGTTTTTGACAGGTACAGACTCAATGGCTCAGAGGGTCTTTTTCTGTGCTGTAGTCCTCCATAATTGTGACTTTATGATGGTTCAACTTGTTGTAGCTGGACACTGGTGTGCGGCATAAAACTGCCGAAAATGCAGAAAGAGTTGTAAGTCAGATGAAAAAAAAAGCATAAAAATATATAAGGGAGTAACCTTTCCATTTGATGTGGTAAAAACATTACAAAATATCCTGAAGGAGGAAATAATAAAAGCAAGATCAAGAGGGACTTAACATGGTCATATGGGAGGGACATCATGTTTGACAAATCCACTGAATTTCTGTGCAAGGACAACTGCATTGATTTTATTCCTTCATCTCACCCCATTGAGCCCAGACTTACAGGCACTTTTCAGGCAAAATATTTCATAATATACTGAACCATTCCGAACTGATCATGCTTGAATTTGGTGCACTGGGTACGTAGCAGGGCAGCTGAGGTTTAAGTGCATCCTCTGGCAGGACATGTGCCTGGAAATGAGGTTCGGAAAACATCAAACAGAAAATCCACACACAGGCTGAAAAATAAAAATAGGTCTTATCTTCTTAGACCTCCTGAGCATCCCCCAGAACAGGACAGTATTTAAAAGAGGTGACAGGGGTCTGACCCCATGGTTAGAGAGCTGGCAAGAGTCCTGTGTAATTCCTTTAAAAGCAGATCTGTCAAATTAAGTGCCACTCAGGCACATAACTAGATAGTGCACAGATTCTTTAGGATCAAGGACCCTGGGGGCAGAAGCCCTAGCTACTGAGAGAGGCTGGCCAATCAATCTACTGCCAACGTGAGGCTAAGTATCATCACTGGATCCGTGGCCACAGATGAATAGCAGAAGGAGTAGATTGCAGAGTGGGTCGTGATTAGAATGAGGTTAGTCAGGTGGACCTCATAGCATATGAGTTCCCTGATTAGGGTTGTTATCTTGGTCCAATCAGGGAGTCCTGGCTGACAGATATAAACAGGAGTGTCAAGGGTTCTACTTCTTCGAGGAGCCAGCTCAGAGATAGCTAGGTCAGTGTCATGTACTATGCATGTGTAAATAAGAGGTGACAGGGGGCGGGATACCGGCCTTTCTGGAGTTATTTCAGTGGTGGCCAGAGTCAGGTGCTAGAACACCATCTGGTATGTGGGATTAATGATGTAACCATGCAAAAGCTACTGGTTGAAGCCCAACTGGACTCCAAACAGGCACTACAACTGGTTTTGTCATTAGAAAACGCGGCAAGTGGAGGTTATTAGTTACAGGATATTACGACAGAAGTGGACACTCTCGCTAGTCTGACTGGACTTGGGGAACTCCACTTGAGTGAGGCCAGCTGCATAGTCTCACTCAGGTCATATCCTGAACAGAGGGACAGCCCACTACAAAACCCAAAAACAAAGCCAAGCCTTGGCTAAACGGTTAAAATTTTCACGAGGATCGGCAGGTCACTGTAGTTGCTGCCGGTATGTGGACTTGAGACTAGGCCTGAATTATGTAACAGAAGTCACAGGCCAGTATCCAGGAGAATGCATACCCTGGGAAGTCCATCTACAGCTGGTTTGGAACAGTTAAACTGCTTAGCAACATCCAAATCAGAACCAATCAAAATAAATGCCTGGCTAAATAGTCACCCAGTTCTAATGGAGGTCGATACCTGTGTAGCTGTATCAGTGACTACGGAACCAAAATTACTCTGGACACCAATCCTTAAGGTTGTGTGAGACCTTGCCAGGCCGAGAACCTATACCCGGGAACCATACACAATAAGGGTACAACTTCTGTTCCAGTCTTTTATGAGAAGTAGCTGGTTTAGTTACCACTAATTGTAGTAAAAGTCTCAGGCCCAAGCTTGATGGGGCAAAATTGAGTGAGAAAGATTCAATTTAATTGGCTCAGTATTTTTCAATTAGAAAATAGCTGCCTCAGTGAAGTCCTAACGAATTGCCAGATGTCTTTCAGGATGATCTAGGGACTATCAAAAGGACCAAGGTCACCATAAACATTGACCAAGAAGCAATTCCACAATTCTGCAAGACTAGCCCAGTACCATTTTCCTTACAGGCTAAAGTAGATGCAGAAACCAGGAGGCTGGAAAGCAAAGTAGCCATCAAACCAGTACAGTTTGCAAAATGGGCAACACTGGTCGTACCAACAGGTCAGTTCACCTTTTGGGGATTTCAAACAAATGGCAAGCTGGATAAATACGCAATCCCTCGCATAGAGGACTTGTATGCAAAACTGGCAGGGTTGGGGGTGTGGGCTGTCCTTCATGAAGCTGACTGTGAACAATGTGTAGCTGCAACAATCAGATGAGAATTCCCAGAAGTATGCTACAATTAATATCCATAAGGGTTTGTACCAAAACAGAAGTTGCTGGAAAAGCTCAGCAGGTCTGGCAGCATCTGTGAAGAAAAAAAAATCAGAGTTAACGTTTCAGGTCTGGTGACCCTTCAGCCTGTGCCATTTTCCAGTGGATAATGGAGAACATTTTCCAAGGTCTATCCCAGGCTATCATTTACCTGGATGACATACTAATAATTGGGAAGACCAATTAACATCATTTAGAGAACTTGGAAAAAGTGCTTAAACGTTTCTCCAAGCCAGGGGAATGTCTTAGGAGAGAAAAATTTACGCTCACAGAACTCACGTCTGTGTCAGAGCTTCGGTGTTTTCTTAGGTTGGTGAATTATAATGGAACATTCATACATAACCTCACCTCCATCCTGGCAACCTTACATTTGCTATTGAAAAAGGGTCAGCGTTGGGCATGGTCTTGCAGCCAAGATGTAGGTAAGTGAAGATGCAGCTATTGTTGTCTAAGGTGGTGGCACACTACAATCCCAAGCGAGTCATGCAATGCCTCCCCATACATATTGGAGTAGTCTTGGCTCACCATTGGCCCAGTGGAGAGGAACACCTGATAGCGTGTGCTTCCTGGACTTTGGATGATGCCAAATGAAGATAAGCCCAGATAGAGAAAGAAGGTTTAATAGTCATCTTTGGTGTGAGAAAGTTCCACAATAGCTTCACAGATGTAAATTTGTGATAGTAACAGATCACAAATCCCTGTGAGGGCATCTTAAATAGGACAGGGCTGTGCCACCCATAGCTTCAGAGGTGGGCTCTTATTCTGAGTGCGTACAATTACAAGTTGGAACACCATCTGGGAGGCCAAGTGGCAAATGTGGATGCTTTGAGCCACCTCCCACTGATGGATACACCATTGGTAATGCTGCCACTGGAACAGCCTGTTCTGGTTTTAAACTTTCTGGACAGCCTTCCGGTCACCGCTGACGATATCAGACTGTGGACACAAAATGGTCCTGTACTGGCAAACTGAAACAGCTGGTGGTGATGGGGTAAAGGCCAAAAGGTCATCATAACCAGAACTGAAACCTTTCTGGACCCTGCGAGACCAGATCACCATAGAGGATGGCATGTTATTGTGGGAAGCATGAGCAAAGCTAAACTCCACCAGGGTCATCCAAGGGTTTCCAAAATGAAGATGTTGGTGAGAAGTTACGTCTGGTGGCCAGGACTGGATGCTGCTATACCAGTATTGTTAGGGCATTGCCTAGAGTGCCAACAAGGACAAAAATTACTGCCAGCAGCTCCCCCACATTCATGGAAATAGCCGGGTAAACCCTGGACTCAGTTACGTGTTGACTATGCAGGTTCTTTCATGGCCTCCATATTCTTAGTCATTGTGGATGCCCACTCAAAGTGGCTGGATGTGCAGAGTTCACGTGTCAAACATGGGGATGATGATTGAAAAGTTGCGAGCATCTTTTGGCAACACATGAATTCCTGGAGGTGCTGGTCACAGACAATGGACCATTATTTACCAGCAAGGAATTTCAGTAATTCCTGAAGTTAAATGGTATTCAGCAAGTAAGGACAGCTCCACGCCATCAGTTGGTCTGGAGGAAACAGCAGTCCAAATGTTGAGGGCAGGCTTAAATTAACAGCCTACAGCTTCACTCAATACCAAACTGTCCCAGTTGCTGTTTGATTATATGACCACCTCTCACTGAACTACAGGGACAGCTCCAGCAGGGTTGCTAATGAGGACAGGACGCATGGTAAGTGGCGACTTTTCACTTTACTCTTTTGTGTGCATGTGACAATAAAGCTAAATCAATTCAATTCAAACCTGATCTTCCTGGAAGTTGGGGGAAGGGATGTAGTGAAACAGCATCAGGAATGCCAATACCAGACACAAGATTCGTCTAAGTGAGAGGGACGAAGCTTACTGTCGAAAACACAAATGGTTCTGCATGTGTAAAAAGGCTCGGTCGACACAAGGTCAAGTCCCGACTTAGAAGGTTAGGTAGGAGAGGCAGTCCTGAGCAAGCACTTGGATCACATGAATGCTACAACCTCGCAAACAGGGCAGCAGCAAAACATACCTGGCCCATCAGAACACCTGGCATGGCTGTCAGAACCTTTGGGTTCTTCCCCTCTGCCTAGCGTCAGAGAAACCTCTGAGAAGATGGACACAACAGACATCACAGCCTCAACAGCCTGAAGAACATGAGTTTTGGCTGAGACGCTCCAAGTGCAAGAGGCAGGCTACGGTCCGCTACATGCTGCTTGTATCCAAGGCAAAGTCAGAGGAACCGAACCTGGTGCGAAATGCCCCAGGAGAAGCTACAGGATAAAAAAAAAGGTCTTCATTCCGAGGACTTAGAGAGGGAGGGATGTAGTGACTGGAACAAGGTCAGCAAGGTGAACCTCATAGAATATGAGTCCTCTGATTGGACCAGGTTAATAGCCCCGACAGGGAGTCCTGGCTGATAGATGTAAATAGAAATGTCAGGGGTTCTACTTACTCTAGGGGCAGCTCTGAGCTAAATGGGTTACTGTCATGTACCATGCATGTGTAAATAAAGGGTGACTTGGTAACAGGATACTGGCCTTCATGGAGTTATTTCACGGGGTACTACATCTTTGGATCAAGCACTGAGTGCCTTTTAATGAGGAAATCCTATCAACCCAAAAGGATTTGTTTGTTGTGCCCGCTTAGTATAATGAGTTCCCCCACCTGGTGGCGTACTGTAATTATACCCATTAGGCCTTCCCAAGATTAAGGGCCCTGGAATCAGAAATCCCAGCATCCAGACCTGCCAGCTCTCCATTGCTGTCAGCGACAGTGGGAGAGGTGGTAGCTGTTGTATGTACCAGAAGCCCTGGATCATTGAGGGAGCACAGGCTAAAAGTCAGTCCAAGTGTGATGGGGGCTGCAGAAGGGGCTGGTCATGGCTCTCAGCAGACCTATTCGATGTCCTGATGACAATCCCTCAATCAGGCATGACTGAATGCCTTTGAAGAAGGGCTCACCCTATAAGCCCATGATCAAATCCGTCAGGACTTTGCTTTTTTTGGATTGCCATCCAATAGTGAATCCTGTCTACTACTAACCGAACAACAATACTTATTGTCCAGCCCTTGAGGAGGTAGTGGTGCTCTGCCTTCTTGAACTGCTACAATCCATTCAGTATAGAGACACTCACAATGCTGTTAACAAGGGAGTTCCAGGATTTTTATCCAGTGGCATTGAAGAGATGGTGGTACATTTTCAAGTCAGGATAGTAAGTGGCTTGGAGGAGAACTTGCAGATTTTGGAGTTTTCACGTATCTTCCCTTGTCTATCTATATGGTAGTAGTTGTGGGTTTGGAAACAACTGTCTAAACAGTCTTATGAATTACTGCAGTGCATCATGTAGATGGAGTGAATGTTTATAGATCTGGTACCAATCAAATGGGCTGCTTTTTCCTGGAATGGTTGAGCCTCTTAAATACTTTTGGAACAGCACTCATCCAGACAAGTGGAGATTATTCCATCACACTCCTAACTTGTGCCTTGCAGATTATGGTCAGGCTTTGAGGTGTCAGGAGCAGAGTCACTCATTGCAGGATTCCTAGCTCTGACCTCCTCTTGTAGCCACAGTATTTACATGGTGAGTCCAGTTAAGTTTCTGGTCAATGATAACCCCAGAATGTTGATAGTGGTGGATTCTGCAATGATAATGCCGTTGAAAGTCAAAGAATCATGGCTAGAAACTCTCTTGTAGGGAATGGTCACTGCCTGGCACTTGTGTGACACAAGTCACATATCAGCCTAAGTCTGGATATTGTCCAGGTTTTGCTGCTTTTCCCTATGGATGGTATCAAGAGACCATTCCAACTGAAAAAGACAGCCTGGAAAGAGGTGGCTACAGAGGTCAGTACCTATGGGTGGCTCAAGAAACATGGCTCTAGTGCTGCAGGAAGAAGAATAATCATTCTAGGTACCACTTCATGCTCCAACGAGTGTGGTTTAGTATTGTAATATTGCCACCTCACAGGACTGTCATACTGAAGACTGGGTACCAGGCATCTCCAACAGATGCATCATGTGTAATCAATGTCTGCCACTTCACTGTGGAACCAATGCAGCGTGACTGGCACCACAAGGATCGCACTTAAAGCGCAAAAGGAATTACAACACTCAGCAGCTCACACACCATCAATTCATTGAACTTTCTTCATTACTAGGAGAAACCCCATGTTCCATAAGTAATTTGGGGATATGATCCATTGTTATAATTGTACTCCATTCATATTCAGGTGATATTGCCATGACTGAAAGATTATGATGCATGTTTGTGGATCATATTCTAAAATCTTCAATAATGTCTTCAATCCGCAGCAGTCAGGTCTCCTAAAGATATTTATACCTCCAAGGAAAGTCAGTGGATGGTGTTTTGGAGATAAGATCTACCCTCTAAAGACATGAGAATTCCTGCCACTGACACTGAGGAAAAGAACAGCTGAAGCCACATAAGCATGAGAGTGGTCATTGCTTAAGCCATCATGATACTGAAGGTGCCATTCATGTGCCTGGACAGATCTAGATAATGTACCAGTTAATAATGACTGACATTTAACAGCTAAACTTAGTTCAAATTTCAAACCAGGCTATACCCTTTTTGCTGAGGTGCAGTGTTCATGTTCTTGTACATACTTTTACTGTTTCAAAGTAGACTGCAAAACCTGAAAGTTAACTGCTAATTGTCATTAACTACTAGATTTTCTATGGCAATCTCTACTAATCAGAATTCACTTGCCAACTTTCTTCTCATAAACATAAATATTACCTTTTTCCCTTAAATTAACATTGTCTGAATTTTCCAGATGTCTGCAGGACAAAAATCTTCAAAATACTGTGTCTTTGTTAACAAACCTAGTGACTTGAATAATACACTGCCTATGCTATATTAGACAGACATACTTTTAATGAAGTTTTTGAAACAGTAGGCAGGGAGGTTACTATCTTCAGTGATGCTGTCCTTTGTGCATTAGAAACATTCTCTCAAGGATAACACACTCATTTCCTCCTATCAACCTGCTCTTCAAAACCAATACCCTTTGCTACCATCATTGCTGACCAAACATTTGCTGCTATACCCCTAACTTACAAACTCTGCAATTCGTTAGGCCATTTTATTGGGACTGGTTGCATTCCCAGCAGAGTCCACTATTGACTTCTTATCATTGCTGAGATTGCTGGAGCTGCTGGCCAATTGGATTGCCTACCAGCTCCAGAGGGCAGGGCTTCTGCCTACTGAGGGGTGGAGTTCCACTTTCCACTACTTTAACTTGTCCAAATGGTATTATGGCTGCAAGATGCATTTCTTTTCAGTCCAATGTCAAGTTTCCTGTTCTCTGGTCAAAATATTCAACTTCAACCATGCGTTACAAGAAGCAATGGAGTCAATGAGCCAATCTGAAGAAAAATAGAATCTTTGGACCAGTCAGAAACATTTGAATGATTAAGCCAATGATACAGAGTAAAAACTATTTGGAAACATTATAATCACTGAACCAGTCAGTAGAAAGGAATCAGAAACATTAGAGATGCTGAGAAAATTGGAACTTGTAAACCAGTTGGAAAGAGAAGAATCATTTCATCAAGTTAGAAACAGGAAAAGCAGCAAAACAATGAGATTGCTAAGACACTTAGTTAAAAATAAAACTACCGGCACATAAACTATGACGAATTTTAATTATCACATATAATTGGTTTACTTGAAAGAAATGTCAAGGTTTCCCTGACAGCTGCCTGGATTAAGGCACTTCAACATGTGATATGAAATTGCGCGACAGAGGTCGTCACAGGTTTGATCTTTAGTTAATGTTACTTAGCTCAGCCTGGTTACAGTATTGACACTGCAACTGTCACCAGCTTCCACTGGACAGCTATAGGGAAGAATGTATAACTTGCCCATTTTAATCCAGTAACTTGTCTTCTCCCTTGAAAACACAATTGTTTTGAGGACAATTTGGACTTGGCCAAAATCCACAAGAACTTTCTTCAAGTTGAAACACTGAGAACGGTTATTTCATCAAGATACTAGAGAATTACCATACTTCACTAAGAGCCAAATTTTCTGCAATGAGTATGGAAGAAAATAGGAATAAAATAAATTAAATTGTCTGAATATTTTCTTACTTCTGTAGATAAGTTAAACAAATCCAGATATTCAATATCAGAGTTATTAAGAAATGAATAATCTAAATATATACCTGGAATATGCTGAACCTCAGGTAGTATACTGGCTGAGCCAAAATCAATCAGTTTAACTCTGAAAGGAAATCGCACGTGTTCTACTAACATGATATTGTCTGGCTTGATGTCTGTGTGGATAATAGACATATCCTTAAGCTTTTCCAAAGCCTTCAGCAGCTGTATGGCAATGGTTCGAACATGCTTAACAGGGAGAGGGGCAAAGCTGTTAGACTTCTGGAAGTCCTGCAAGTTCTGCTCCAATAGTTCAAATACAAGGTAAGACTTTGCATTTCTATGGAAATATTCAAGAAGTTTTATAATATGAAACTTGTCTGCATCCACATCTTGCAAGAGTTTCAACATTCTGACTTCTGTCGCACTGCAGCTATCATATTTTACAGTCTTAATAGCAACAAACTGACCAGTGCTTCTTTTGCGACAGCAGGCCACCTCCCCATATACTCCCTCACCTATGGGTTGGATAATGCTATATGTGTCATTGTGAGAATGAATTGCAGACATCTTCTTACGAGAGGTTTTCTGAAGAATCATTTTAGGGGAATATATCTTATTCAGTGAGGCAGAGTATCCTGCAGCTCTTTCAATGCTCATCTTTGAAGTTTTCTCTCTTATCAGCTAGAACTCGACCTTTGCTGTCAGTCGACCTTTAGATGGAGACGATGTTGCAAGTCGGTTATACTTGAACACATTGTGTATGGTGAAGAAACAATCTTCTTTAACTCTTTCTTAATGATGCTACTTAGGCTCTGAAGAAACTTTTCAGAAAAAACTTGCAGCTTTATAGGTGAATTTCAATTTTTGAATGATGAAGATTAGCTATTTGACACTTATAAACAATGCTCTCAAATTAACTCAAGATCAGATTTTGTGCGGAAGTTCCATCACATTCATGCAATCCAAAAAAAAACCTATAGGATATAGTCAGCAAGGTTATCAAAACCAACCAAAATTGCTTGTGTAGCAATGTATAGCTTTACTGAGTATGTATAATGCTGAGTCACATTATATCATAATCTGTATGAATGGGTTTATATGCTCTGATGTCATAATTATTCTGTGATTCACCAATATCTTTTAAAGGAAAAGGTCATTAATGTATGTCTTTGAAGGACCCTCCCCCACATTAATACAACGGAACCTATTTGTAGAATATACGAGAAAATGTTTTCACTTTCAAATGGTTTTCAGTACTCTTAAAACTCTGTCAATGACACTCACTTGTGAAGGGCATTCCACACTGGCTTTTGACAGCTCTTGTTTTCTGCAGTTTTCCGATAAGGGAGAGAAGGCCTGGGCCATGTGACTAAGGATTCCAGGATAACAGTTAGTATTATAGAATGTATTTTCTTTGAAAGTATTACACGTTACGAGAGGTACAGCACTTACAAGAAACAACCACCAGAGCAACTACTATCTGAAGAATACATGTCACGGAAACTACTGAAAACTTGTGTTGTAAAAAATCATGACCAGGAATAAAGACCTAAGAAAGGAAAATTAACAGCTGAGAATTTTAGCCCCCACTTTTCTGCCTTTTTATCAATGTATTGATTCATGTGGTTCCTTTGGTCAATGGGGTTGAATCTTACAGTTTTTTGGCTGTGTAAACTTCATGGAGTTTCATAGAAGGTCTCTCCCTGCAAGGCCTTGGTGTTTTCTTGCCAACTCACCTTATTAATTACCTACCTGCTCCCATGCTGACAGTCTTGTCCTATGCTAGCCCAATTCTACCACTCGTCATACCCAGTGGAACATGCCACTGCTGGGATAGTCTTGACCATCAATGCTGATACCAGTGCCATCTTTAAAAGACCATTGCGCATCCGGTCAAGTACTGTAGGAGCTGTCCTGCAAGGTTCATGACATTTTCCGCAGATGCAGCAGATAAGAGGAAAATGGTGTCCTGCTTTGCAGACAGGAAACTGGAGGTCCTAATGGATGGACTGGTCAACAACTTTCACCACTCTGCCAGGGTAAGTATCCCTTGTCTCTCTGGCACCTCACACTCCTCAGTATGGCACCAACCTCCCACGAAGGCTCATGCTCTACTGCACCCATTATTACCTGCAACATCTTCCCTCATTTGCTCTCACTCATCTCATACCACCAAACCTGTAAGGCCCCTTTGTTGCCTCCTCACCCATTTGGAACAATTCGCCACTTTCTCCCAACTGCACCAGCACTAACAACTGTGCTGCCTACTTTCATCTTCCCTAATACACATCTTCTCTCATTTCAGGAGCAAACAGACCACAATGCAGTACAAAGAGTCAAGGCGGCTGGTGGCAGCCAAACATTCGGCTCCTTACCCCTGATGAAAGTAGAATTCTGACCCTGACCACCTCAAGATACTGCTTGACAGTGTCCAAGCTCTCAACTGGTATCAATGGCTGCCTTTGGCTTTCTTAATGAACTCCTGTCTTGCTTGATGCTAGCATCATTTGTAAAAGATTTAATAGCACGGCACTTGGAAAACAGAAAGTAAGAGCGAGAGGGATTTGAACATGTGTGACAGAAACTAAATGAGAGACAGAGTGTGAATATGTGACAGAGTATGAGTCAGTATGAAAGAAAATATATGTGATACAGAGCGAGAGAATGAGTGAATGTGAGAGACTAGGTATGTGAGAATAAGAGTAAGTGAAACAAAGTAAGTGAGTGTGTGTAACAGAGTCAGTAAATTAGTACGTATGACAGAGTGAAAGAAAGAGAGACAAATGAGTAAGTGAGTGAGTGTGGGAGAGAGGAGTGTGGGGAAGTGAATATTTTGTATTTTGACAGATGAGTCGAAGTGTGACTGAGTGAATGAGAAAGAGAGAGTGTGAGTGAGTGTATAAGACAGACAGAGATAGAGTCAGGCACTGATGCCTTATATGATGCCAACATCTGTACAGTTCATAAACCAAAATCCTCCCCGACCATCAACCTCACCCTGCTCTCATAGTTCTGACTTGGAGTCCCAACAACTTTTAGTCCTTCAAATGACGTCATGGGAGAAGGTTTGGGAAGCTCTTGTCTAACGGAGGGGAATGACGTAATGTGGGGTTAATGGGCAGAATGTTGTTACAGCAAGTGGGTCAGGATAAAGTGGCAATGATTGGTGAGCTGGCGAATGCCGAAATCACCTTTATACTGGCAGTCCAAAGCTACTCTGAAGTAATTAGTCAGTTACCCAGACAATGTCGAGCCCTCCGACTGTATTCAGGCCCCAGTGGAGTGATATCCTGCCTGCAATAGCTACTGGTGAATCATCTTTATGGCACTAGTAGTGCCACTGACAGCATTGGGCATTGCTGATATTGCTCTGGGACCTATCTAAAGGATCAAAAATTGATCCTCTTGAGACATATAAGTGGGAAATGTGATCCCAAAGAAGGGCTCTCAGCTGGTGGCAGGAAGGGATCGATAGCAACAACAGTGGATGGCATCTTGTGGACAAACTTATCCACTGCCATGTCCTTCAATCAGGGACAGAATGCCAGTTAGCAAGGGATATTTCCTCCAGAAGGTGTAGTGTATACCAGCAGAGTCAGGGTGAAGTCCTCAAACGGCCGGTATGACTTTCTGCCCTAGACTTAATATGGGGGAGGCAGCAAGATGGTGGGAACTCTGCCCTGCACATTTCCAACCATTTACATTGGCCCACCCTCCTCCAAAAAGCCCTCTGGGAGGTTGGGTGTTAAATTCTGCACATGGAATGGGTAATGCGATGACATTTGAGGAATGGAATGGAGGCTGGGAGATGGGTCTGGGATTACATGAATGGATAAAAGGTATGGTACAAGAAAGCACCAAAAAAATGGAATTGGGATTTTAAGAAGTAATATTTCAGTAAATACTAAATACATTATTGAGGTTTTGTTGGTCTCTGCTAGTATTACATATAAATACCAACTGCTATTTTTGTTTACCAAGGCTGTTTTGAGCATAACCTGAAGCAAAGCAATAATCTCTTCACAAATTGTATCTGCAGAGTGCAATCAGGAATGACATGGTGATGCACTGCAGATGAAACAAAAATATGACTGCAGTTTTCTTCTTCTCAGCAAACCCAGCTTCTTATGTAGAGGATAATTTTGCCAGACAGATTTGTTATTGTGCTTTAAGATTTTGCTTATAATTCAGCATATACTAGCAGATTTTGAGGTAGGCTGACAATTTTGCTATGGCTTAGAATTCCAATGAAATTATTTGAGAACCAGAGTCAAGGAAGCTAATATGGAGTTGGGGTGGGGTGGGGGGGGAGCAAATAATTTGGCATTTGAAATGTTCGTCACTGCTTTTCAATGTAGGTTACATAGCATTTTCAACTGATGAATCTGTTGTACCTTTTGTTGTGTAAGGGCTTCAAGATCCTGCAGAAACCTTGTGTTGATGTCATGAAACCACTCCTCACTTGGAATAAATAATAGTGTTGGTGGAGTTAAGAAAGAAGAGAAAAGCGGGAAACACGTGCAAAAATAAGCATGTGGATTTGACCAACTAACATTAGGTGGTAGATTTTATTGGATAGACTTTCAACAATGTAACAATAACATTGGAGCCTGGTATATCTCTAACTACCATGTATTGTGTTATTTCATCTTAATGTGTAATAATAGTGGTATAAAGAAGACCAAGCCTGAAGACAGATCTTGCTTTCTCCTCAACTAGTCTGTCTTAAACTCAAACTGATACGTGGGCAACAAAAAACACACAACAGACAATGGCAGTGAGAAGGTCCACTGCCAAGAAAATCATGGCATCTGTGAAGATAAGAAACAGACTTGAAATTATGTGGGGTAGTGGAGAGCTCAAAAAAAAACACCTGTTTAAAAACATATTAGTATAGCTTTAAAACCAGCTAGCAGCCAGAAAAGCCAATAGTTGTTGTGAAGAAAAACATTTCTGAACAGAAAACACCTGCAAAGATGCCAGCAGCAAGTCTGAATAAAAGCCTTTATAACCAATTATAGGGGAAACAAATAAGCAGTGAGAACAGTAAAAACCCACTTGTGCCAACAAGACAAATTCAAGCACCCACATAAAAGAGGCTGATTATCAGATATCCAAAGCAGATTTGATCCCTTGTAGGAAAGAAAGAGAAAAAGGGAAAGTTTGTAATCTTTTCACATGAGGGAATAGGCTGGGAGGTAGAGTTAGAACCTCTGACAATGATTTAACAATTTTGGATCCATTTGCTTGACAATGAGTTAACAACAAGTAAGTTCAGAAAATTCTTCAGAAACAGGCTTAAAATCAATCAACAAAAAATCAAGAGTACAAGTCATTTGTTGAAATGCAAAAACTCATAGCCCTGAGTGAAGTTAGTTAAATATTTATTATTTCAGTGATTTGGACAAGAGATGCAAATTTTATTCAGAAGCTGAGAAACTTTATCAATTTTAACTGCCAAATAACAAATCAGAGATAAATTAAAAGAACTCAAAACTGCTTGGTTAAAACACAGTGCAAAAATACCTCAGGCTCAGGAGAAATTAGTACAACTGCTGCAGTCAAAA